TGAACTCTCAAAGTAAAAAGACATGATGTTGAGAAGGCATTTTTAAAATGCTGAAATTATGGACCTAAAATCTTTTCTATTAATACTGCTTACTTACTGGAACTATAATTCAAAATAATTAAAATCGGACTTGCCAGCAATATTGAAGAGAGGTTGAAACAGGCTGATGCAGAGAGCACCATCTGCTGATGAGAGGGCAACTATGCAATCCTGGGAATAACCATCTGAAGGACTGAAAATACTTTCTAGATTACATGTATCTACTCTAAGACCACTGGAGATTGGAATATTAAATAAGAACTTTAGTTAAAAGACCCCTAAATGTTATTGAATGTATAAAAGTAACATAAAGAGGCCTTGGAAAACCATGGGGGTATTTAAAATTGATTTGACTAACCATTGATGAGATATTAAAATTTGTGACTTGGCAAATTGTGACTGTTTGGAATTAATGACTTGTGACAAAAATTGTGACTTGGCAAATTGTGACTGTTTGGAATTAATGAATCCTGGACAATTGACTAAAAAGGAGACCTATTAAACCAAATGAAATGCAATGCAAGGCGGAAATGAGTAGAGTTTTAAATGGAATGGAGCTGATGCTTCAAAGGATTAAGGACCTTATACAGGAACAACATAAGGTGATGGTGAAAATATTTGATTGCATAGACCTGTGATGGCGAACCTATGGCATGCCTGCCACAGGTAGCACGCAGAGCCCTCTCTGCTGGCACACGAGCCGTTAGCCGAGCTCAGCTCCACCGTGCATGTGCCTTCTGCCGACCAACTGATTTTTGGGTCTCTGCTATGCATGCCCAGGGGGTGGGGCATATGTGGGAGATGTGTGCGCATACCCGGGGGCAGGGGGAGTGTGGGTGTGGGGGGGTCTGGGGAGCGCATTGGGAACAGGATGCCTCCCACGCTCCCATTTTTACTCCAGGAGGCTGCAGGGAGGCCTACTAGGGCCAAAATTGAGGTGCGGGGGGGGGTGCGGCACACCCCCCCAATGCCCATTTTTGTTCCTAGGAGGCTGCAGGGAGGCCTACTAGGCCCAAAATGGGGAACGGGGGGGTTGCATGTCCAAAGGGCAGGGGGAGCAGGAGGGGGTTGCGCATTCACTGCATTATGGGTGGCTTTTGGCACGCGACACAAAAAGATTAGCCATCACTGGTATAGGCCAAAAACTGGAAAATATTATACAAGGGACAATGAACAAAGACCAGGACAATGAGGAAAGAAAGGAGCCATCAGAAGGAATGGAGGGGAAAACAGAACTGAGAAACCAGCAAAAAGAAGACAAGAAGGAGGAAATATTACCAAAATTAATAATGAGTAAGGAATTAAAACAGGAGAGAAATGTTTTAAAGTATTTAAAAAGGAAATGGGAGAAACAGGAAGATATCTGGGGAAAAGAGATAGGGGCTAGAACTAATAGCTTTAAGCTAGACAGTGGGGAAGGGTAGAGAGAAGAGAAAAAGTTAGACTACATAGTCAGAATATAGATCTAGAAGTAGATGGTGTAAAAGACTTAAGAGAAAAATATGGAAGGCAAGTGAAAAAAAACAACTAAAAGTTCTGATGCAAACAAGAGATGATGGATTAAAAAAAGAGAGAGAGTAAAAGATCTTCCATGAATACATTTCAATAAAAACATATGTATTAATATTAGAATTATATAGGCTGAATAATTATTCTGTATGTAGTGTAATAGACATTAGGATAATATTTTAAGATGAATAAATATGAAGAGTGAAATATGGGAATTATGAATAAGAATTAAGTATTAATTGGAAAATTAGAGATTGAATGATGACATTAATATAAATTATATTATAAACATAAGGAGCCTCGGTGGCGCAGTGGTTAAGAGTGCAGTACTGCAAGCTACTCCTACTGCAATTTGGCAGATTGAATCCCACCAGGCTCAAGGTTGACTCAGCCTTCCATCCTTCCGATGTGGGTAAAATGAGGACCCAAACTGTTGGGGGCAATATGCTGACTCTGTAAACCATTTTGAGAGAGCTGTAAAGCACTATAAAGCGGTATATAAATCTAAGTGCTATTGCTATTATTAAATATGCATAATATATGATTAGCAATAAAATGATAAAATTAAACAATGGGTGGTTAGATAATGAAAGAATATATTTTAATGCAAACATGCGTATTAACAGTAGAAACGTATGGTTTGGATGATTGGTAAGAACATGAATAGATGTTCTTTAAATGTTTAAATGATTGTGTTTGGTATTAGAAGTGTAAATTGAGACATTGGATAATGAAAGAATGAAGGCTGAAATTTTAACATAAATAGAGGAGAAAAGTAAAATAAGGGAAATATGAATAATAAAACTGGTGAAAGATGGGAAATAGCAAAGAAATGTCTTTGAATATTATAGTGATATGGGGGAAAAACATTAAAATAGATATAAGAGGGATAGATAATTATTGTGTGTGTATAGATATAGATATAAAGATATATGAAAGAACAAGAGAGGTTTAGAAACTGAAGTATAAGGTATATGTAAACAATATGAAATAATGAAAATGAAATGTAATAATTAGGAGTAATAGTATTACATCTATTTGTATCAAAATGTATGATGCCCAGGTATCACACCATTCACATGCTGATATGTATAAGTAATATAAAATAAAAAACTTGATGGGGGAAAAAAAGAAAGAAATCCTCATGATCAAAACATTAACAATCTAGTACAAGGGTGTCAAACTCGATTTCATTGAGGGCTGCATCAGGGTTGTGTTTGACCTTGGAGAGCCAGGGTGGGTGTGGCTAAGTCAATGTCACTCATGTCAGGGTTGCCTGTGGCGGCCTGAGAGCTTGCCAGTGAAAACCGGCTCCCGAGCTCTGTTTTCTGCTACAACAGCCTCCTGCAACCCTCTGCCAGCGCAGGCTGGTCCTTCACTGTTTCCAGGGTGGCCCCATAAGCCAAGTCTAAGCATCCCGTGGGCTGGATTCGGCCCATGGGCCTTGAGTTTGACACCCCTGATCTAGCTAAAAGTACATTTAAGATCCATGAAGACAATGTAAATTCAACCTACTCAGTCACTTCACTGTTAGAATATATTATTATTATTATTATTATTATTATTATTATTATTATTATTATTATTATTATTATTATTATTATTATTATTATTATTATTGTTATTGTTGTTGTTGTTGTTGTTGTTGTTGTTGTTGTTGTCTGACAATCTTTAGAAAAATGCTATACTGATTGTTTAGAAAAAACAATTTCCTGATATTGCTTCAAAAATACAAATGTGGCAATTTAATCTAGTTATTATAATCTTCCTTGCACAAACATTATTCAGTTCCAATATTTAACTCCCAATGAATTGACTCAGTTGTCCATTTTTTTGTTTATTTAGAGACTGAACCCACAAAGACATGGGCAAACAGTTTTAAAACTTTTCTAATCTTATAACTTCTTGTTCTCTAGACTACTATTTTTCATCAGTAATTTTTAAAGGAAAAAAGAAATTTATTTTTCCTGCAGAGAAAATGTATGTGCATAGTGATGGCTAACCTTTTCTTCATTGCGTGCTGAAAGTGCACGCGCATTGCATTATGGGTGTAGGCATGCATGCACACCCCCTATGCATGCACGCGTGGACCCCCGCACCATGCGCCTCTGTGCGTCCATGTGCAATCCCCATGGGCCCCACCCCCTGCGCATGCGCACACATTTCTTGCACGCGTGTCTCCTCCTGCGCATATGCGGCAGACTCACGACAATTAGCTGGCTGGCGGGAGGTGTGCGTGCATACGCAGTGGATCTGTTCCGGGCAATGGCTCGTGTGCCGACAGAAATTGCTCTGCGTGCCACTTCTGGCACGCGTGCCAGGTTTGCCATCACAGGCATAGATAATGAAGACAATTTTTTCCCAGTAGTTTAAACTGTACTAAGAAACTATAAAGAATTTGATTTTGTCATAATAGTAATTTATTTCAAAATTATAAAAACCAAAATAGAATAGCAAAATATATGTACAATATAAACAATATGCCAAGCCACTTACATTGCCTTACCTAACATATAGCTAAATTTGAGGACATTTCATAATGTTGGTTAAAAACATAGCTGTTGCAGACTTATACAAAGAATATTTGACGTTTTGTAGGTAGATAAATAAAAGGCAAGACAGAAAAATATATATTTATATGAACACAAACAGCATAAATTCATTTTTACCTATTTTAAAATGCTTCTTGATTTACCCTGAAAACATTTTAAGCAATACTCCACTCAAATAATGACACACCTTCATTAACTATTAAAAACTACAAGCAAATTGGATGAGACAATAAATATTTTATCTGACAGATTAATGTATGCTAAACATACATTCAGTATCACCTATGTGTTTTACATCTGAGATGCGTTTTTTAATTCAAGTATTAATTGTGGGTCAAATAAATAATCTGGAAATGGAAATATTTATTTTTGTCAAATACTTCCATTTTCAACTATTTCAAAAGAACAAAAATAAACACCTGCAACTCATAATTTACTGAAATATGAAAGTATTTTTTAAAAAACTTGTTTATGATCAATGTATCTATCTCTATGACATATTTCATATAGTCTGTTCCATAGTTCTCTTTCTTTCCCTGGTATATTATTAGGATTGATTGTTTTATTTATTTTGAAATTTTTCTGTACATGGGAGTGTGTCAATGTTTATTAATTGCATAAGATATGATTTCTAACATGATAGCAATTAACTGTATTTTTCTTACTAGTTACAAAAAGTTAGAAAGCTAGTGCATCCATTCAAAATGTTAAATTTGTCATTTATATTATAGAATTATTATTACATTTCATCTAAGACCTAAGCTTTTGAAGATATTTTACACTTTTTGGACTTGAAAAAATACTGCAATTGTGAATGATACATTATGATTTAAAGATCTTTATTATCATTCTCATTAAATTAAAATAAAACATCCTGACATCTAAATTGTTTATCCTTACCTACAACTTTGGGCCCACCAGCAGATCCTGGCTTTCTTGTAGTATTTGAAGGATTTCCAGGTTTTTTAGGTGCAGGGACCTTGAAACCTGAAGCAGTTGCAGATGGCCTATTTCCATCCACTGATTCTTCATCATCAAAGCTTTTATCTAGAAAGGTGTTTTTAAAAAGAAAAACATACATTATAACTCCATGTTATTTTGTTTTTAAAATAAATATTTCCAGCTGTACTATAGCAAAAATCCAACCAAATGGAATGTCATTTTTCTTTAAGGCTACAAACAACAACAACAAAAGAAAATAAATAATGTAATTTCATTTGATATAATAGGCTTGCGAATGATAGAATCTATCATTTTTAAGGTTAATCTTTGACAGCTAAGGAAAAATCCATTAGATATATATTTCCTGTTCACTTACAATTTGTAATTCCAACTAAACATTTACATTTTCAATTTAATTCAGCATTTCTGTAAGAAAAACACTGATTTTCTACTATTCTTACTTGCCATTTCTGCTACACATCCTCCTACAACGTGTCTACGAACACTCCCTGCTCATTCCCTCCACCCTGATTTTAACACTTACAATCACAGATCCGTTTACAGATCAGCCGCCTCATTCCTCTGACAGCTCTTCAACAGCCCTTGCACTAAGATATTCCCACTTGCTCACATGGCCGTATAGTTGAATAATCTAAATATTTATCAAAATATTCCACATAAAACTGAGAAAAAACACCACAGATTCAACACAGAGATTTGTGCCGGCATCCTTCTGTCTCTTGCCTGCACTAGGTACTGAAACAACCAATCAGCTGCAAGGTGACATCATCTGCTGGTAGCCACTGCTAGATGAAAAGGTGAAAAATTCTTCACACACAAAAATCATTCCCATGCCCAAACATACTCTATTTTGTAATTTTCTGATAGGGTTTACTTTTCTTAAAAGGGCTTTGTTTATAAAAATGGAAAGTTATCTGGCTTATAACTTTTCTTTTCAACTTGTTCCCTGATGCTTTCGTTTTTTTTACTTCAAATTACACCCACGCTCTAAAAACTTAATATTCTAAATATCATGTGAACATTTCACTACTCAATTATAGAAAAATATTTTTGGCAGGATAAATGAAATGAAAAAAGCAATCTGTAGTTTCTCATCATAGACAAGATGGGCGAGGCTGATACGGAACTGTATAAAGCTTAGAGCGGTGTGCAGACACAGACACAGACATTCTTTCTCTGAAATCTTTATCAGTTATGGTTTTCATCCTGTCAATGGAACTTCTGTAATTCCTATATGCTTCACACTAGAAAATTTTTGTGTCATTGTAGAATAAAACTATACATTCCTATTATGTTCTACAAAATGTGACTTTAGAAAGGAATGTTTAAAAATGTGCTGCCGAATAATGTTTGAAAACTATTGACTTGTATCAGTATTAATTCTGTACCTCTTGACCACATTTATATTGTTATGGAACTTGATATTAATTGTAATGTGTATCCAAAAATATCAAGTGTTTCCTTCATATAATCATCCAATGGTATACTGCTCTAAGCATTTTGTATGCAGGAGTATGTTACTATCAGAATGCAAGAGAAAGACAGGAAACATTATTCTAGCAGTCTCCATGGTAACTGTGCTTTGCCCTTGCACATGTACTGGAAGGCAACATTTCAGATCACTTTAACCCTTAAAACATAGGAATTCAATATCCTATTGTTTTAAGCACAGTGAAATTAAAAATAAAAATGTACTGTACATAACATTGAATAGAAATGATTTCCCCCGTAGTTCTATGTAATGAAAAATATAGTTTCTCAAGAAATCGTTTAAAACACTCACTAGGAAAGATGTATATGCAGAAATCCTGACAGACATTAACATTTCTAAGACAATGAGGCATCTAGTTCATTAACCTTAAAATAAAAATAATCACCAAAGATTATGATCATTATTTGTAATACTTCGCTAAAATAAACAAATTTGGATTCAAACTCTGCTTCTAGTGCGTAATACAAATTAATCCAAGAGACTAGAGGAAAAAAAAGGTGAGGGACTGAGATTCTTCAGAATTTTGTTGTCGGTGTTATTCCTGAGCTTTTAAATGATCTCTAACAATGATCTGGGGAACAGATAAGAACCTGCATCTCAGGCAAGTCAGTGACCCACTTATGCAAATGCTAGGTTTTTAGCATCCCTTAACAGTTCTCCACACTGGATTAAGTCCCCCATGGCTGATTTAATATGTTTTCCCACTAATCCCTGCATCATCCAGAGTGGCATGCCAACAGAGAAAACTCATAGCATAGATGGAACTGATGCTGTGGTCAACAGATGACAATTAGACATAGAAGAAAATTGCTCACTGTTACATGCCACTGTATTTTTTGATATTTGCTTTTTGAACTTGGACTGTATATAGATGTATTTGCAAGATAAATGTAAAAGTATGTATGTCTGTTTGAGTATGTGATGTATGTACTACTGTGTTTGGTGTTAACTTGAGAGAGAGAGCTAAAATATATTTGTACTTACAGTATAATTACTATGAAGAATATTAGAAATAACTCCTTTGTATCTTTTTCATTTCTTTTCATTTTTTAAATTTTCTTTCACTTTTTTTCTTTATTTTTTAGATTAGCTTGTGTTAAATTTTATATTGTTATTTGTCCATTTCAACAGGATATAGGAGAATGCAGAATATACACATATAGTTAACCTCAACTTATTTTCAAAAATAACTCATCTTTATACTGATTGGCAATTTGAATCTAATTTTTATGGCAGTTGACATGGCTCTTTCAGCAAACAACTTCTGTTTGGTTGATGTGTTGAAATTTTGCTATGTATGTACTCTGTGTATTCTCTTGAGGACAGAATGAACGCAAACAATTGTACAAACCTTGGCCTCTGCATTTTTTGATGAATTGGTAGTGTTTTTTAAAATATATATATACATTTATTAAAAGTTTTTTTTCTTAATATAAAATAAAAATAAAAATAAATACAATGGAAAAAAGAGAGAGAAAGGGGATAGAGGGGATTATGTGAGAAAAAAAGGGAAAAAGTAAAACAAAAAGCAGTAGTTTATGATTTTTTAGCGCAGTAACGTAACTAATAGTTATTGTATCAACTTTTTACATATACTACATATACTAGTACTAGCCATATAGTAGCAGTAAACTACTTTATCATAAAAATCCAAAGTTAAATTTTGTTTCTTCCACATACACAGTCCAGAAGCAGTTTCCAAGTAACCACAAAACATTCTTGTTCGTAATTAGTGCAGTCAACTTCACCATCTCTGCAAATTCCATCATCTTTTCAATCCATTCCTCCATTGTGGGAGCTAATGCTTTTTTCCATTTCTGAGCATATAGAATTCTTGCAGCCATCAACATATATAGCAACAAAATCCCAAATTATTTTCCATTTCTTTATCTAATAATCCTAGAAGAAAAGTTTCTGGTTTCCACTCTAACTCCATTTTTAAAATCTTCTGAATTAAAACATGAATCTATTTCCAATATTTTTTTGCCTTGTCAAATGTCCATATGTGATAAAAAGTACCTATTTTCACTTACATTTCCAATAAACATTCAAACATCTTTTTACATCTTTGATAATTTATCTGGTGCTACATACCACTGGTACATTTTATATAAATTATCTTTAAGGTTATAATTCAATGTAAAGGTGGTGAAGTGGTTAGAATGCAGTACTGTTGGCTGACTCTGTCCACTGCCAAGAGTTCGATCCTGATTGGCTCAAGATTGACTCAGCTTCTATCTTTTTGATGTTGGTAAAATGGACACAGATTATTGGGGGCAATATGCTGAATCTATAAACCACTTAGTGCTGTAAACCACTTATGAAGCAGTATCTAAGTCCAAATGCTATTACTATTAGTCCTTTAGCTTACATATTTTCCCACAGCCTTAATATCATATTATAATCAAAATTTATTGTCCATTGAATCATACAGTGTTTAACATATTCTTTATCTAGGTTTAACTGTAACAGCATTTTATAAAGCCTAGCTATAAGGTGTTCATCATTAATAGTGTATCATTTCAAATTCATTTTAGCAGCTTCAAAACCACAATTTTTTTTATCCAGGGTAAACCTTTATTTTAGCCATAGATAGGTAAACCAATGATAGGTACAACCCTCGTGTTCCAAGTCTTCTTTTGATTTGAGAAGTGATTAACTTTGAACAAAGGATATTATTCAGTATAAATTGTAACTCACCAATTGTAACTCACTATCATTCCTTTTCTTTAAAAAATTTATTTGGATAACACCCAGAGATATTTAAAAAAAAGCATTTTCTTTGTATTTATTCCAAACTCTATAAATGGCACGCCTAATAAAATGATCCTTGAAATCTGCATTTATTTTAACGTTATCATATCATAGATAGGTGGGCTGTCCAAACATTCATGACCTTCCAAATCCAATAATCTCTTATTTTTTAAGGTCTCCTTTCCTTCATCCAAATCAAACAACACATCTCAAAATACAGTGTTAAATCTGGAAGATCCAAACCTCTATTTTCTTTAGCATCCTGCAATAATTTATACTTTAATGCTTGGGGTTTTTTTCTTTGTTAAATAATCTTAGAAATATCTCTTTAACTGTTTAAACAGAGCCTCAGTCATCAACACTGGCAAATCTGGAATAAAAACATGTTTGGTAGGACCTCCAGAGTCTATTAATTGGCTTTGATTTATTTGATTTGACTTTTTTTATTCTGATCAAGTTTATCCTTCATTACCCTTGCTTCTTGTGTCTTGTCTACAATCAGTTTAGGTGTGAGAAGAAAAAGGGCGTTGGTACTTACCTGATATGCCCATTCTCTGTGAGCTGTGAAGAGCATCCAGTGATGGGAGGTGCTTCAGTCCCTTCTAGGAAGGCTGGGCTTAAACTTGAGGACACTCCTCCTCCTCCACGAGACTGCTCCTTAGCGTCCCCAGTTTTGCGAAGCCAAGGTATTGATACCCTATATGCTCAAGCCTATGTAATAACCCTGGCCGGAACAGACCCACTACCAGACGGAATAAAAGGGAGGGGCTGGATGCTCTTCACAGCTCACAGAGAACGGGTGTATCAGGTAAGTACCAACGCCCTCTCTCCCATGAGC